TTCTTTATATTTCTATATTTATATTGAGTCATTGTGTATGATGAGTGCATTCAATTTGTCCGTGAACGCTGACCACAGGCAACGTCCTTGATAAGATGGAAGTTTATCAACAGTCACTGAGCGCATCCACAGATTTTTTCGCAGGGGGGGAGCAGTTCTTCTGTGCCCTTTCACCATAACATTCAGCGGAGAGTAGATAAAGGGGGTAGGTCGAATCCAGAAGAACACTTATTGTTTTGAGAGCAGGCTGCACAGGAATTTCCTTCAGCCTTAAGTCTTTTTCTTGCTGGATCTTTCATGGCGAAATCCAATATTCCAAGTGTGTTGGGCTTTTCCGCCTTGAAGCGAGCGTAACCATCCATTAAACGTGCCATGGGGCCAACAAATCTGAAGGTACTCTACCAATCCTGGTAAGAAGAATAAATAAATATCCATCCCAGATCTGGTCAGAACCTTGTTGATGTGTGTGAAAAGGGAGGATGGGTGGTGGCTTCCTTGGGGTCATCTACCCAAACATTAACTGTGTGCATTATATATTAGAGCTTGTACAAATGATTTGACATTGTATAAATAACAAAGTAAACAAAACATTTTGCACTTTGTGCTAGTTTTATCAAACAACGATAACAAAAATGGGTCTTTAAAAGCCCCAAATAATGAAACTAGAGCCCGGGTATCAGGTTAGATGAATAAACGAATCCCTCTGAATTATAGATTAAGACATCCATGACCAGCCGTCACACTGCTTGCCTCCGCTTCAGAATCCTGTTGCTTTTATTGGGATTTAATGAAGGAAATTAGTGAACCACTGGCTAAAAATAAGACCTCTTCATAACATTTCCTGCTTTACTTTATGAAACATGGTGATTAAAAAATGATAAGCATCAAACGGATTCATCATGTATCTGATCCCAGTTCAGGGTTAATTCATTTATAGGCTGTCAGTTAGTGTATCATCACAGATAACAGCAGACAAAACACACAAGGAAACTAATCGTCTTCCTGGGACCACAGCAGTTCTCCAGCACATCAATCACTGTCACATTCCCTAGAGATTTAAATAAGGTAGACCTGTCTTTGTTACCTAAGATGTTTATTTAATTTGTTTCATTTAATTATTTCCAGAGTTAAAGGAAGGAGGGGAAAAAACACAGAAGGTAATATACATTTGCAATAATTTAATTGAAATACCTCAAATCTGTATGAATTTGACGCCATGGAGGAAGTGCATCAGCGGTCACCATATTAAGTGGTGTCCAAAAAGTTCTGCCAGTTAGAAGGAGCTAGGAAGAAGAAGCAATATGCTTCCTTGCAAAAATTTACCATTGAGTCCTAATAATCCTAGCTGCTTCAGGGAGCCATATTGTTGCCCACAATCCTTTGCAGGACAAGACTTGTAGACACAGCCCACCTCATAGAGTTTAACAAAAATGCTTAATTTCTTCCCATGTACTTTGTGTGACACATGCTATTTTACACACCTTCATGTGTTTTTCTCCTACTGTACGCTACATTTCTGTAGCTTTTTTTGTTGCTCTTTTGTAGAAAATCTGCAGTCCTTATTTGATAAACCTAATTTGTGTTACCCCCATGTAATGACGTAGCACAGCAGTCTGGAGCCGTTTCCTATCCTGGATAGTGTTTCTATTGTTGACTTATTGAAAGGTAAAGAGATAGGTGCAAGGAACAAAGGTAGAATATAATATGGGTGGTATTTGAAAGGAGTCAAGAAAATAGGCCATCAACATCAACATTGTAAATTCCAGAATGTTTCTTGTCAGAGGAACTTGCTACTGGCAAAGGAATGGATGTGCTTTAAATTTTTATCAGACATCAGATGATATTCTAACCAAGGCTTTGCTTTCTTTGTTCCCTGCACTTTTTAAACATCCTTCATTTAACTAGGTGGAAAAAACAAATTAAGATAAAAAACTTTTTTCTAAGAGTGGCCAAGACAGCAACTCAACAACATAGTCACAGAAGATGACTCACATTCGAATACATTGTACAGATTACGATAAATTTGATCTGACAGACATACAGACAGACATTCAATTCAATTTTCAATTCAGTTTATTTATATAGCGTCAAATTCACAACACATGTCATCTCAAGGCACTTTACAGTTCAACCAGATCATACAGTCAAATTGATACAAAGTTTTCTATCTAAGGAAAACCAGTTGATTGCATTGACTCATTGACTCAAATACAATCCCTCACACTAAGCATGCTTGTAGCGACAGTGGAGAGGAAAAACTCCCTTTTAACAGGAAGAAACCTCCAGCAGAACCAGGCTCAGTGTGAGCGGCCATCTGCCAAGGCCGACTGGGGTTCAAGGAGACAGAAGCAGAGATACAAGCAGCTGTAAAAGGCGGCCCCGTCCAGGAAACACACAGCCAGGCAGACGAGCTCCAAGGCAGCTCCCATGCCAGAGGACGAAGAGAGCACATCCAGCCAGTCACGGTCAGAGAAACAGGACCACACCTGAAGACAGGCCGATCTCCAACATCTACAAACAAGGGTGTTGATGGAAGCAGCACAGCTGATGTTTCTTTCCTGGATGACGTCACAGCCAAACAGGAACAGACGAGGCAAAGCTACTCTGAGGAAAAGCAGAGAGAGCAGAACGTTAGAGATTGAACTAACAGATTCTGCAGAATAGGAGAACAGAGAGAGAATGAAGCAGAATGATGAAATGGGGGTCCCTATGTCCTCCAAAAGTCTAAGCCTATAGCAGCATAAATATAGAGAGAGAGCTCAGGATAACCTGAGCCACCCTAACTATAAGCTTTATCAAAAAGGAAAGTTTTAAGCCTAGTCTTAAAAGTAGACAGAGTGTCTGCCTCACGGACTAAAACTGGTAGTTGGTTCCACAGGAGAGGAGCCTGATAACTAAAAGATCTGCCTCCCATTCTACTTTTAGAAATTCTAGGAACCACTAGTAAACCTGCAGATTGAGAGCGAAGTGCTCTGTTAGGAACATAAGGAACAATCAGATCTCTGATATAAGATGGAGCTTGGCCATTTAAGGCTTTATATGTGAGAAGGAGGATTTTAAATTCTATTCTTGATTTAACAGGAAGCCAATGAAGAGAAGCCAGGATAGGAGAGATATGATCTCTCTTTTTAATTTTCATCAGAACTCTGGCTGCAGCATTTTGGATCAGCTGAAGGCTTTTAACTACAGTTTGTGGACTTCCTGATAGTAAAGAATTACAATAGTCCAGCCTTGAAGTAACAAATGCATGGACTAGTTTCTCAGCATCACCCCTGGACAGGATATTTCTAATTTTTGCAATGTTCCTCAGATGAAAGAAGGAAATTCTAGAAACCTCTTTGATATGGGATTTAAATGACAGGTCCTGATCAAAAATAACACCAAGATTTTTTACTTTATTATCTGAAATCAGTTTAATCCCATCCAAATGAAGTGACTGGCTAATCAGCTTCTTTTTCAGAGACTCTGGTCCAAAGACTATAACTTCTGTTTTGTCTGCATTCAGAAGCAGAAAGTTAAGAGTCATCCAGGTTTTTATGTCTTCAAGACATGCCTGTAATCTATGTAATGGGTTAGCTTCATCTGGATTTATAGACAGATATAACTGGGTATCATCAGCATAACAGTGGAAATTAATCCCATGCTGTCTAATAATTCTACCAATTGGGAGCATGTATAAAGTAAAGAGAATTGGTCCTAGCACTGATCCCTGTGGTACTCCACAGGTAACCTTTGAGCGTGTTGAAGATCTATCATTAACATAAACAAACTGAATTCGATCAGATAGATAAGATTTAAACCAGTCTAGTGCTGTTCCTTTAATTCCAACAAAATATTCAAGTCTTTCTAAAAGAATATTATGGTCAACTGTATCAAATGCAGCACTAAGATCCAACAGGACGAGCACAGATACAAGTCCATTATCTGAGGCCATGAGAATATCATTAGTGACTTTCACCAGAGCTGTTTCAGTGCTATGATGAGCTCTAAAGCCAGACTTAAACTCTTCAAAAAGTTCATTATGGTGTAAGTGGTCGCAAACTTGTTTGGCAACTACTTTCTCAAGAATTTTGGATAAGAAAGGAAGATTGGATATAGGTCTATAATCAACCAAGTCATCTGGGTCAAGAGACGGTTTCTTAAGCAGAGGTTTAATTACAGCAACCTTAAAAGCTTTAGGTACATATCCCTGTAACAGAGATAGATTAATCACATCTAAAATGTGATTAATTAGATTTTAATGTGATTAAAATGTGATGACATACAAAAAGGAACATAGAAGCACTGATCTATAAATACTTTCTATGTGGCAGCTATTCAAAATAGCCCTTCCCAATCAAAAGCCAGCTGAATGGCAGCCAACTTCCATGCAGCTTCCACCAAAATCCCCTCCAACTTCCAGCCAATGCTCTTCTCCTGGGCGTGCTTATTTTTTTACTCCACCCTCTCACTGAATTATAGGGTCTGACCAGGGGATAACGCTTCGCTGTAGATCTTAATGTCCTCAAATCATGACAGAAAGAATGTTTTAGTACAAAGATTTATGTTTAAAAAGGAATTGTACGGGACCAGCAAAGGGCCCATCAAGGAAAGCGGTTACATTTTTGTAAGTGGCTCTGTCATTAAAAACTGTAAAGGCTGTATGAATGATTTAGGTGCTGTATTTATACTTTAACTATTTGTTTTTTTCAAATAACAAAAAAACATTTTGCTCCATAAACTTTAAAATGAGAACGGTATCATTTTACATTATGTTGTGTTTAAAAGGATTATTTATTCTAAAATTAACTTTGCATTAATAAACATTTGGTATGCATGAAAATGAGCACATTAAACACATTTATTACCAAAATATTTAGGCCATGTCTTTGTGTTAAAATACATAATGTTTTTATAACAAACTGTCATTATATGCGATAAAATAGCCTTGGTTTATAAATAAAAGTAAAATAACAAGAGGAGCAGTGAGATTTGTGACGTCTTTCGCAAACAAAGCTCTGATTGGTTGTTCAACCACCGGAAGTGGAGTGCTGCCAACTCTTTTCTTCGGGCGCCGTGGCGCTCCGTGGCTGAAGCTGCCGTCGGTGGTTGATTTCGTATGAAGCGTCTCGGCGTTGGGCGCAGGGCGGACATGGACACACACACAACGAGGTGAGGAACATTTTCTAATGACAATCGCCGATTAATGAGCTTTATTTAGGGAGCCAGATAAGCTGAAAGCGTCGCAGAGATCTGAACGTCTTTAAGGGCGCAGAATATATCCCCTACATCCGGTTCAGATTTTTCAAAATAAAAGCAGCCTTTATGTTAGGTCTACTTTTTGTCCACAGCAACCAAAGGTTCATCTCAATGAGTTGAAATATTCTTGGATTTATTAAAAAATAAATTATAATAATAATGATTATCTATTAGAGTGTGAGTCAGTTAAACATTTCAAATACAAAAAAAACATATCATAGGATGGTTAAATACAGTATATATTTGGGCATATATTTGTATCAATTCAGATTATTGTAGCATACTCTAAATACAAACAAAAAAGTCATTTAAAAAAAATATATTTGAATATGGTAAAGTGAAGGATGGTTTCATTACAGAAACGTTTAGATTATTTTGTAATCTGTTTAATCATGGAGAAGTCAAGCTAACAGTCACCAGGGTAACTATCCAAAGGTCATGCTTAACAGGCCTAGTATTCAAAGTGCCATGTCTAAGCTTATTAATGGGAAGTTGAGTGAAAGGAAAATATCTGGTTAAACTAGGGTGACCATATTTTCATTTGGGAAAACCAGGACACCTTGGAGCGGCGGGGGGGGGGGGGATTTATTGAAATAACAAATGTCTCATCATCGGGATTTGCTCCGTGATCAGAGGAAATGTTACTTGGTGCAGAACAGTGGTGAAAATTGGAAGTTCAGTTTAATATAATACAACTCTGTGAATAGTTCCATTTGAAATGAATGAAAAATAGTTGTTTTAATGCTGATGAAGGTTCTCAGTCATCCAGGTCATAGTCATCCCGTAAAAATTCAAAAAATATCCACTGGACTTGGTTTTCAAGATTTGAAGACGTTTCGCCACCTCTCCAGGAATTGAGAAAGCTTCCTGGAGAGGTGGCGAAACGTCTTCAGATCTGGAAAACCAAGTCCAGTGGATATTTTTTGAATTTTTACGGGAGTTGTTTTAATGGTTACTGAGTCAGATATGTGGCGGTAATGTTTGATTTATCTAAAGGTTTTTATCTGTTACTATGTAAATGAGTTCGGCTGTAATTTAAGGACAGATTCTCATAGATCTGCAGAGTGGGAACTTTAAATCTGATAGGAGTTTAATTTTTTTATTGTTGTTTTGAACAATATGCTTAACTAAGTATTTTTTGTTGAATATTAGAGATTTTGCAGATATATATTTACATACATACATTGTTTAGATTTACTTATGTATTTCTAACCCTTTTATAGAATAGAAAATCCCTTTATTCTCCCACAATGTCCAAATTTACAGCAGCAGAAAGATTATTGAAAATGGTCACACAAATGAGGACCTTAGAAAAATGTCTAAGAATAACATAATAGGGAAGAGTTAAAATATAAACAATAAAATACTGTAAAGTGTTTTAACAATATAAAACTGGAGAATTAATAACCAATATGCAGCTATGGACATTTTTACAGTAATGGATATTTGAAAATAGCAGCAACATCAGAGATGTGCAGAATGACAGCAGCAGGTTATTTAACTGACTATGGTTTCTATCATTACATTTGATTTGATTTGTTCCTGCTACCGGTGGTTGGAACATTTATTCCACTCTGGATTCTTGTGAGTGTAGTCTTTGTTCGCTTTAACTTTTTTAAAAATAAATAAATAAACAAACAGTTTTGAAAACCTCGGTATTCATTCTTTTCCTGCTTTGTGTGTCAACTTTCACGGTTGCTAGGCAACAGAGCATACGCCGGTAAAACCCGCCAAAGGGTAGACCTGTTCGAATTTACAGACAAAACTCTTCCGGCCTCCTTATTTTCAAGGACTTCGAAGGATTCAGTCTAGGTAGACCGCATCTTTGGAGGATGCAGCCCAGGTTTTCGAACAGAGCCTATGATTAAGAACAGGGCTGCCCGCACTGACGCGGCTCAGGGATTACGTCACACGGAGCGTCGTGCGCAGTGAAATCAGGACATTTCCTCACTTTCTAAAAAAAACCCGGGACGCCCGGGACAGGACGTGAAATACGGATATGTCCCGGGAAATACGGACGTTTGGTCACCCTAGTTAAACATGCTGCACATAAACAGGACCTTAGGGATTATTGTGAATGAAACCGGTAGAGCCCATGTCACACTTTGCAGTTTAGCCAGCATATGCCTGATGTAGGAAAAATCGGGCAAAAACGCTGACATACGTTGGATAAGTTATTGGTTTGTTTTTTTTATAAGTTATGAGCATGCTGAAACACGATGGCTCATGTCAACATACGGCAAGTGCGTCAAGAAATTTTCAGCATGACATATGCCATATCTGGGCCATAAGTTACAGGTAAAGCCGGCCATACACTCTGCAATTTTTTTCAGTTGTTGCACGAAGCTACAGCTCACACTGTACCACGAAACCCTGCGGTTTCGTGGTACAGTGTAAGTTCACAGCTCACGATATTTGTTCTCACACTGCCCAGCATGACGCTCTGATGCGATCTACCTGCTCACACCGCAGGTCTAAAAACCCCGAGTCAGCTCCAGTAAGATGGCGCTACTCGGACTTGTCTATCTGAAAGCGATACGAGTAGAAGAGGAATATGAAGCTCACTAGAGAGAAACTCGCTGCCTAGGCAATTTGTGCAATTTTGTGCTGAAAGCCCTAAAATGAAAAGGCGACAACGTATTTGGACAAAGACGTGCCTGAGCAAACGTGGCTTCTACAGTCTGTCAATTTTACAGAATGAACTCCAGTTCACTCGCACCCCCGCCATGCTTCTGTGTTTTCACCTGAGAGGAAGAAGAATCCTTGTTTTGCCAACAACCACCTTACGACGGCCAACGGAAAATCAAACATGTTGGATTTTCTCCTGACCTCATGATTCCTGATTGGGAGGTGGTCACCCCTCATTACCCCCTGTTCACTACACCACGTATGATCAGACTGAAAGTCGGGCCGATCGAAAAATTCTCACACAACTAGAAAGTCAGCCCAAATAGGGCAAAAAATTGTAGACAGTATCTGCTCGGCTTAAGTTGTTTGATCGTTGACATACGTTAAGTGTTAGTTACTCATTAGTCGTGGTCTCTAGCTTATTCAAAACCTCTGAGTAACTTGTGCATAACTTCTGCGTAACTTATCAAGAACTTCTCTCCAACACATATCAACATATTTGCCGTGCATTGCTGCCCCCCTCAGGCCACCGGCTTGTAACATTTCATGTGCATTACGCTGCTGCGGGTTATGCATAAGTTAGGCTTTTGTTGGACATAAGATCTGGACTCGTTATGCATTTGTCCAAAATTGAAAAAATAAAATACAAAGAATAGAAAATCCCTTTATTGGGGAATGGGGAAATTCTGGAATACATGGAAAGTTCAGCGTAAGCCAGTGCTGGCTAAATCGTCACGGTGCAAAAGGGGCTCTAAGAGCCACAAGGTGTAGACTATTACAGCTGTAGTTGGTGCTTCAACAGCTAACACAGATGGACATGGGCTTAAGCTGATGGATGTCTTATGTTAAGCCACTTGTAAATGAGACACGTTGCAAGCATCTTAGTTTAACTATGGAGAGGAGATGGAGATTTATTTTAAAATCTATGATGATTTGGTTATTCCTATTTTTAATAAAGTCCAAACTCAGGACAGCCACCTGGCTGGACGTTCGTAAAGTATTTCCTGTTTCATTCTGTTTCTGGATACTCAGACTTTATTGTCCAGCAGAACTTAGTACCTGCAGAAAAGAACCGATACTTGCTTTAATCAGAATCATTTTACTATGCTTGACTGGGCAGCAAACAGGTCTGGAGAATCTATTGAATATTGTGAAAAGGAAGATGAAACACTAGAGCAGATAATGGTGAGCTGAAGCTGATGTCAAAGCAACCTGGGCTCACATATTGTTTAGTAATGAATGGAGTATCCTGCAGGCCTACATTTGTGTTCTAAAGTTTGATTATATAACTTTTTGCTGCTTTGCCAATTTATAATTACATCTGAGTTTAGTAGGGTTGTTAAGGGAAAAGCTTCAATTCAAACTGTCGGTTTTGCTGGTTTTTGTTTTAAGCTTTTCTAATAATTCTGATTCACACCTGAAACATGAATACAGCCACACACAAAAAACGGCTGCATGTATCTGCAGCGTCATCAGTGCTACAATTCAGTAAATGGGTTGATTAAGAGGTAAATATACGGTAAAATGCATACATTAAATAAACATTTATAATTTAACAAGTGAAAGAAAAAGAAATTAATGTGGGAATAAGAATAGTTTAAAAGTTAATATAATTATTTCACTAGTAATAATTTAATAGTCTTGTTCTGCAGCACAGGTTGCGTGTTTTGGGCCAGTGGGGCTAATGTAGTAATAGATAAAGTGGTTGGTCTAGATTAGGGCTACAACTAATGATTACTGTGCAAATCGATTAATCATTTTTTCGATTAATCGATTAATAATCGGATAGCAAAAGGTTCCTTAAAGAAGATTTTTGGCAAAAGTAAACCAGGTTAAACTAACCCTTTTCGGAGTATTAGACTGAGTATTGACAGAGTATTATAGCCAGGCTAGAGATTTTTTTTTTTTTTTCTATTTCGAGAATAAAATTGTGACATTATGAGACTAAAGTCATAAAATTAAGAGAATAAAGTCCTAAAATTACAAGAAACCGCCGGCTGTCATATACTGGTCGGAGCTCCAAGCTTTCGTTCTGAAACAGGTTGTCGTATAATGACTTAATTCTCGTAATATTACGACTTCTCGTAATGTTACGACTTTATTCTCTTAAAATTACGGCTCTATTCTCGTAATATTACGACTTTATTCTCGTAATACTACAACTTTATTCTGGTAATGTTACAACTTTATTCTCGTAATGTTACGACTTTAGTCTCTTAATATTACGACTTTAGTCTCTTAATATTACGACTTTATTCTCGTTATGTTACAACTTTAGTCTCTTAATATTACGACTTTATTCTCGTTATGTTACAACTTTAGTCTCTTAATATTACGACTTTATTCTCGTAATATTACGACTTTATTACTACAACTTTATTCTGGTAATGTTACAACTTTATTCTCGTAATGTTACGACTTTAGTCTCTTAATATTACGACTTTAGTCTCTTAATATTACGACTTTATTCTCGTTATGTTACAACTTTAGTCTCTTAATATTACGACTTTATTCTCGTTATGTTACAACTTTAGTCTCTTAATATTACGACTTTATTCTCGTAATATTACGACTTTATTCCTGTAATGTTACGACTTTATTCTCGTAATATTACGACTTTATTCCTGTAATGTTACGACTTTATTCTCGTAATATTAAGACTTTATTCTCGTAATGTTTCGACTTTATTCCTGTAATGTTACGACTTTATTCTCGTAATATTAAGACTTTATTCTCGTAATGTTTCGACTTTATTCCTGTAATGTTACGACTTTATTCTCGTAATGTTTCGACTTTATTCCTGTAATGTTACGACTTTATTCTCGTAATATTACGACTTTATTCCTGTAATGTTACGACTTTATTCTCGTAATGTTACGACTTTATTCTCCGAAAAATAAAAATAAAAAAATTTCTAGCCTGGCCCTAATACTCCGTCGTAGGAAATAGCATATTGACAGACCAAAAATGTTTTTATCTTAAATGGATAATGTTTACATTTTTTTTTTTTACAACTTTGTTATAATTACTGCTAAGTGAGCAGCTCTGTCAGCTAAAGGCATGTTTTTAGAGTCTCTAAACTCCAGTTAATGATTAATCAGTTATTAAATTAGTTGACGACTATTTAAATATTCGATTAATCACGATAAATCAGATTAATTGTTTCAGCCCAAGTCTAGAGTTTCACTTCCAGACAGTTTAAGCAATCTGATGTTAGAATCTGGGAGGTAGTTTAGATTTTAGGATGAACTGTATCACAGGAAGTTAGTAAAGAGGAAATAAATACTTGAGTGATTCTCATGTTATCTGAAGGCTCTTCTAATGTATTTATTTAATAATTTTGTTTTAGTACAGTTCCTGTTCTATTGATTCATTCATCATGTTTTTAATAAACTGATTTGTAAATTTGTCAAATAATTAATTTATTGGGTTGTGGCCCTTTTAGCAGTAGTTTGATCTTCATTACTGTTGGAAACTTCAGATTTAGTGTCTGACTGATTTCTTTTAATGCATGTGAAATGTGAGATTGCTGAAATTGTGCCGGAACAAGAAAGAAAAAGGAGCTTTTTAAATGTTCCACCATTTCCAGCTCGCAGTCGGGTTGTTTTACTTTGAAAGGGAGGAAAGGAGCCGGAAGTCTATTGTGATTAATTTGCCTGTGAGGCTCAGCCAACAGTTTTCCTTTTGTGCTGTTGCTGGGAGCTAGCTCTCCCTGTGCAGCCCGCTCCAGACGTTTCAGGTCGCTTTTTGTTGAACCCAGGCTATAAATGTAGATTGTTGGTGCAGAGTGGCGTTACTGGGAACGTCCTGCTGAGGAATGGAAGGTGGAAGAAAGGCTGCTGATCCTCAGTCTCATAATGATGTCTTTTTTTTTTTTTGGTCAGGATAATCATGATGTTTCTTTTCTTCAGGTGATTGTTGGAGCATAATGGAGCCATGAAATAACAGGAAAGGTGTTTTAGAAGAATCGTTTGAGTGATGTGAGAAAGAGAGAAAAGATGCAGACTTTCCAGCTGTAGGTCTTATGAGGACATGATGCCCAGACGGGGGTTCGCCTTCCAGGGACGGGTCCGCTGGCTCTTCCTGGGCCTCTTCCTGCTCCTGGTGCTGATGCTGTTTGCGTACCTGCTGGAGTGCACGCCGCCTGCAGACGTCAGCCATGTCCTGCCCGGCTTGGCGGGGGAGGCCTACGGGAAGGAGCACTACCAGGCTCTGCTGCAGGAGCACGAGGAGCGCCACCTGAGCCGAGCTTCCAGCCTCAAGCGTCAGATCGCCCAGCTCAAGCAGGAGCTCCAGGAGATGAGCGAGAAGCTGAAGCTGATGCAGGAGAAGAAGGAGCCCCCCGGGGTGCAGGGCCTGGGGGAGAACAAAGACCAAGAGCCGGGGGACCTGCTGGAGTTCCTGCACTCTCAGATCGACAAGGCAGAGGTCAACAGCGGAGCGCGGCTGCCCAGCGAGTACGCCCTGGTTCCCTTTGAAAGCTTCACCTCCTCCAAGGTGTACCAGCTAGAGATGGGGCTGACGCGGCACCCCGAGGAGAAACCTGTGCGCAAAGACCGCAGAGATGAGTTAGTGGAGGTCATGGAGGCTGCGCTGGACATCATCAACAACCCTGATGACGAGGACGGGGTGGAGGACGACGTCCCCATGCAGAGGCAAACCTACACAGACAGTCACTTTATGGAAGGTAAGGTCGACGGCAACCGAGGGCGGAGACGCCGCCGCCGTCATGCTCTAAAGCCGGCTCTCATGTTCCAGGATTATACAGGACGGAGAGAGACAAGGGGACGCTTTACGAGCTGTTCTTCGCCAAAGAGGATTCCAGCAGCTTCCGTCACGTCACGCTCTTCAGACCGTTTGGGCCGATAATGAAAGTCAGGAGCACAACCGTGGAAACATTAGGAATGATCATCAACATCATCATGCCGCTGGCGGGCAGGGTCGATACTTTCTCACAGTTTTTGCAAAACTTCAGGTAGGAACCTTTGAAGCCTGTGGAACATGATTCAGCACGCTGTGTTTAGGGAGCTCTTAAAAAAAAATCAATCCTTTGTTTCAGGGAGGTGTGCATTCAGCAGGACAAACGGGTTCATCTTACCGTGGTTTATTTCGGACAGGAAGGTCTGCAGGAGGTGAAGTCATTGTTGGAAAAAATGTCAAGGTTTGTGTTTTTGTGCTTCCATCCGTGGAACTTCTCCAAAGATCACTTTTATTTCCTCTAGATTCAAATTGGATCCTTTTGAGGTTCTTCAGTAATCTATTCATCACATCAGTGGGTTTAGTTCATCATCCTTCCTGCTTAGACTTGTCCTGGTTTTGTCAAGTTACAGCAGCAAACGTCCCATCATGGGATTTAATGAAGGTAATAAATAAAAACCCGAAAAGTATGGAGTGCATTTCTGTTCCACCCCTTTACTCTGATACTCCTAAATACAGTCACTGCCGTCATCTGCTGGTCGGAGCTCGAAGCTTTCTTTCTGAAACGGGTTGTTGTATCATGACTTAATTCTCGTAATATTACAACTTTATTCTCAAGATAGACGAAGGAAAAAAATCTCTAGCCTGGCCCTAATAAAGAGTTCCTGCAGGTCCTTAAAAAATCCTTAAAAGGCATTGAATTCTTCAAAATAAAACTAAGGCTTTAATTGGTATTAAAATTTCTTAAATCAGTCTTTTGTAGGTCTTAATTTTTAAAACATCATAAATAGGATTATTTTTATTACGATTTATTTTTGTAATCTAAATAAAACGTTAAAATGTACCTTTTTTTTATTTATTTAAAGAAATAACGGCTCGCCATTATTGTTTCCCTCCCGATAACGGAACCAATAAAGCGTTGTTGCGGCCGGGACATTTGGGAGATGCACCATTAACTTTTTGTCTGGAAAATATGAAAATATGTAAATGTAACCAAAATTGTCTCCAGCCAAGAGTTTTCTCCATGGCTAAAACCAGGGAACATACATGAGGCTCAGTGGATTTTGTGCAAGAAGTCATTCAAGCTCAGAACAATGGGAATTAAGGCAGTGGAGTCGCATGCGAAGCACGAAACACAAAGTGTCAAAATGGAGTTACAGAGAAACAGCCGGTATTTCTCAGTTTTGTTCCACCCTTGTCTCTGCAACGCCTCCACTTATCACCAAATCAAACATACTAAGAAAAACCATACAAAGAAAAACAGCTGCAAAAAAAACTTAGCACTGGTTATGTTGTGGCTTTAAAACTGATTTGTTTTGTTCCCTGCTAAAACAAAGTTTGTGAATTCAGTTAAATAATTGTTAAAATATATCTGTCATTTGTGTGTTTTTAGCTTTCTTCCTGTATGGGAAGCTTTTCAAAATTTGAAACATTAGTTCAGTGGTTTATGTTAAAATAAACCTTTTGGTAAAGTTGTCGCAAGCATTTCAAGTGGCATTAAAAAGTCTTAAAAAGTCTTGAATTTAAATTGCCTTATGCTGTAGGAACTCTGTAATACTTTGTCGTAATATTTAAGGCTGTGTGATGTTATTATTTAACGTCCAAATAATTCAGAAATCTCAGATTAACAAGAGCAAAATCATGCAAACAGCTCTTGTCTTTACTATCAGTACTATGGGTATTTAGTATTGTATCCACGTTTTAATGCTGCTATAACTGCTTTAAAAGGCTGTTATACAAAATACCCTTTAAGGAAGGTAATTTAAAATGTAAGCTGAACTTTTCAAAATCGTTTCTGAATAAAACATGTTTTCTTCTTGACTTTACAGTTGTGGTTCTGTGTTGGTTTAATCATTTAAGTTCAGTTTAAAATCCTTAAAAGTTGAGGTGGTGTTGGTGCCTCTTAGGGGTGTTAGGGTTAAATAATAATCGTTTTGTATCGATGCATCGATCCAACAGCCGACGATCCGATGCATCGATACGTCCGCAAGAGAATCGATTGTGGTTTTTTTTTCCTCCGGTCTATTTTTATCCAATTGCTCCTGGGCGTAATTCTCCCTCCCGTGCTGCAGTGGCGCTAAACCTATTGCGCACTCCTACCTCGCTTCGTTTATTAACCCTTTTCTCTGGGGGTTTTCCTCTACAGAGAGGAGAGCTTCTCTAACTACACCCTCATCCCTGTGGACGAGGAGTTTTCTCGCGGCCGGGGTTTGGATATCGGAGCCCACGCGTGGAAGAAAGGCGACGTCCTGATGTTCTTCTGTGACGTGGACATTCGTTTCTCCCTGGACTTCTTGAACACGTGTCGTCTACACGCCTCCCCCAGTAGGTTCCTCACATCTTTTCTATCTCGCTGTAACCCTGCAAAGTTTAATGCATTTTTTTTTTATCTCTAATGCCATTATAGACAAGAAAGTGTTCTACCCGGTGGTGTTCAGTCTGTATAATCCCGCCATCGTTTATGGAAGTTTGGAGCTGGCTCCACCTATTGAACTGCAGCTGGTAAGAAGCGTAAAATTCAGGTCTGTTCTGCTTATGATTAACCGATAGTGAACCAAAAGGTTTCATGTGAATTTTTATTTGTTTACAGATTCACAAAAAAGATGCAGGATTTTGGAGAGATTTTGGATTCGGAATGACGTGCCAGTATCGCTCTGATTTCCTAAACATTGGTAAACGTTTACATCAGATCCCATAATTGGATTTATTTATTCTGCAGTGATCGCACACACTTAGTTGAGCTTTTACAGCCAAGCAACCGTTTTATTCTAATACTGTATTCCCTGAATGTGTTAAAACAGGTTTTAGTTGTCTGACATTAAGGATCCCTTTTAGAAATTCAGAAAAAAAAGCTTTTATAATTCAGTGACTGTGTTTGGTGATGCAGGCTTATCTGTTTATATGTATAATGATTACTTCGATATAAAAACATGAAGTTAACCAGCTAGAGTCCGTGGAGGGAATTCTAGATTAAGGTGATGGCAAAGAGGCCTCCCGACCTCTTGGGGCTTAATCCAAGATGATAAATCATCTGAACATCAGTGAAAATGTATCATTGTTTAAAAGCACTGATAAATTTGCCGTGCTTTGGTGGAGCAGTGGTTGGCGCACACAACGCTTGTACGGACGCCTTAGTCTTCGACGATGCCGACCTGGGTTCGAATCCGGTCTATGGTCCTTTCCCACATGTCTCTCCCCCTCTCTCAGTCCCACTTTCCTGTCAGTCCATTAATAAAAAAAAAAAAAAAAAAAAAAAACGAGCCACTATTGCTGTAAAAAAACTGTAAAAAAAAAAAAAAGCCTGATAGTCAAAATAATCTACAGGCTTTATAATTTATAACTGGATTATTAAAACAAAAATTTTTTATCCATTAGTTTTTTGTAGTGTTGCACTAATACCAGTATCAGACGGGGCCCCGATCCAGCACTAAAATGGTGATATCGGTATCAGCGACTACCAACAAATAGAGCACCGATACCATTTTGAGAGAAAAGTTTATTCTACTATTATCACCTATTCAAGGTAGGCAATAAAAAGTTCTACTGGATTCACTTTGTATTAGTCTGTTTCCTGCTTCACAAAGGTAGGCAGCAGCTTGAAAAAGCCATGATGGCAATTATTTTACATCTTGCAAAACTTTTGCGAGATCTCGCAAAACTATTGCGGGATCTCGCAAAACTATTGCGGGATCTCGCAAAACTATTGCGGGATCTCGCAAAAGTACTGCAGGATCTCGCAAAGGTAGCGGGATCTCGCAAAAGTATTGCGGGATCTCGCAAAAGTATTGCGGGAAGATCTCTCAAAAGTATTGCGGGATCTCGCAAAAGTATTGCGGGAAGATCTCTCAAAAGTATTGCGAGATCTCGCAAAAGTATTGCGGGAAGATCTCTCAAAAGTATTGCGAGATCTCGCAAAAGTATTGCGAGGTCTCGCAAAAGTATTGCGGGAAGATCTCGCAAAAGTATTGCGGGAAGATCTCGCAAAAGTATTACGGGAAGATCTCGCAAAAGTATTGCGGGAAGATCTCGCAAAAGTATTGCGGGAAGATCTCTCAAAAGTATTGCGAGGTCTCGCAAAAGTATTGCGGGAAGATCTCGCAAAAGTATTGCGGGAAGATCTCGCAAAAGTATTGCGGGAAGATCTCGCAAAAGTATTGCGGGAAGATCTCGCAAAATTATTGCGGGAAGATCTCGCAAAAGTATTGCGAGGTAACGGAAAAAAAGAACTTTTGCAAGATCCCGCAATACTTTTGCGGGATCTTGCAAAAGTTCTTTTTTTCCCTCCATGTCCCTTTAGGGGCTCCGTAATATTCCATTTGTCAAGGATTAAAAGTAATCCAGCATCTTTATAATTAAAACATTCAATAATGAGAAAATTACCACATAAAGTCCGTTTTTTACCATCATAATAGTTTGATCCTTATAGCTAATGCAAACTGTCCTGCTAATTACCCTAGCTTCCTCAAACATTTCCGGTCAATGTTTGGCATGTGTGTTTTCCTCACCTTCCGGCCTACAAAACAAAAGTGCTGCCGTCGATTATGTTAAGATTTGACGCTGGGACAGCCCTTGAAGCGTCACAAGCGCTCCCTATCAACTGCCATCTTTATGCGTGCTTCCCCTCTTATTATGACTCATAAAGTCCAGCTGCTATTGGTTAAAAAAACACACAATGTTTGGCTCTCTAGCCAATGAAATGACCTTTAAAACAAGGCTAAGCATGGCTAATTTGAATAGTGCAGCCCTGATATATTGCAGGGCGTAAACGGAAAGATCCGTTCCTGGGTCATTGCATGCTGTTATAATAATAATAATATTAATAATGAATTTGATTTGTAACGCACTTTACATTTGAATTCAAATCTCAAAGTGCTACGGTTCAAAAAGGGAAAATTAAAACAAAGGTTAAAAGACCATAACATTAAAACAGAGTAAAAGACAATCATTAAAATCAATACATTTGAAGGCATATGTAGCCTATTATAAATTTTAAAAAGCAGCAATTGAAAGCAGTTCTAAAAAGGAAAGTTTTCAATCCTTTCTTGAAACAATCCACCGTCTGGGAGGGCATTCCACAGACGGGGAGCTGCGGCTTGAAAGGCCCTGTCGGCCATTGTTTTTAGCCGTGTCCTGGGTGGGGCCAGGCGGTTACCGTAGATGGAAACTTAGAAAATTAAAAAGATATATTTGCTTCAAAAGTTTTTTTGTCCATCAAAATGCCTCATTGTGATATTATTTTTGTTTTTTTGGGTACAATTGTTGTGTAAAAGCAATAAGCAAAATTTGGCATAATCTGGCACATTTGGAGAAGTTTGAAGACGCTGGTGTTTAAGACGTTTAATGTCCAATAGCTCTGGAACTGTTATACCTAGAGGTCTGAAATTTTCTTCATGTGCGGTTGAAATAATGCAGAATAGATGTAAAACAATAAGACATGCTTATTGTCAAGCATGTCTTTGTTACTGCAATTAAAAAAAGACCTGTTATTTCCAAGAAGGAAAAACAACTATGAGTCATGTTTTTACTGCTGCAATTTAGGCTGTTTTAGCCGCACTGTTTAATACAAGTATCACACATGTAATTTGGGCTTACAGTTCCTCAGTTATTTGCTTTTCCATTTGGGTATGTAAAAAGGCGAGAATTACTTCAAATAAGGTGGATGTTAAGAGGTTATGTGACTACAAACCTGTCGTTACCCACAATAAGCTGAGAAAACTATATTTAGGAAGCAGGGATCCATCAAAGCTTAGTGATAAATTTGGTTTATGGAAATTCCTGAGCTTTTTTGTTTTTTAAAATGAAGGACTTTATTATTTAAAAAAATGAATCTACTTAATGAAAAAAAAGGTTTTGACATCTCTATCTTATGGATGATTTTATTTCCCCAGGTGGATTCGATCTAGAGGTCAAAGGCTGGGGCGTGGAAGACGTCCATTTGTACAGGAAGTACCTCCGGAGCGACCTGATCGTGATCCGGACGCCGGTGTCCAGCCTGTTCCACCTGTGGCACGAGAAGCAGTGCGCGGACGAGCTGACGCCGGAGCAGTACCGCATGTGCATCCAGTCCAAAGCCATGAACGAGGCCTCCCACTCCCACCTGGGCATGCTGGTGTTCCGGGAGGAGATCGAGGCCCACCTCCGGAAGCAGGCCTTCAAGACTCAGAGCAGGACAGAGGACTGAGCAAAGGACATTCCTAAAGGAGACTGAAGGCGCGTTTACATGGATCCTTCTGCTTCTTTTTATTAACTGCACAGCTGTAGACGGATGAATGTAGAAAAATGTGAAACGTGGCACAAAAATAGAAGCCTTACTGAAGCGGTACAGCCGCGGGAAACAATCAGCAGTATTATAGGAAAACCTTGGAGACAGTGTTAGGATTCTGGGAACGAGATTTGGAATCCGTAAGTTAGGATTTAACGAAGAGCATCAGAGCCTGGTCTCTTCAACGCCGCTTTGCTGCTTCGCTTCTGAATGTGAAACATGTCAGCAGCTTCTCAGTACCTTCAAACACGCTGAGGATAGATTAGCAGAACGTACCCAACAATGTTTGGAACGGATGGTCAGATCAGTTAGGAAGGGATCACATTCTTCTTATTTATTGAGCATGAGAACAAGGAGGGGTTGCACTTTTTCTCAGCGGAGATTGAAATATATTCTGACCACTTGTGGAGGTGAAGCAGGAAACCTCCAGCAAAAAGGCTTCGTCTCCTTTAGGAGCTGAAAAAATACTTTTTTTTTTAGAAGATTTTTGGCTTGTTTCAAATTTGAATCCAAAATACAGATCTTAAAAGATTCGTCACTCACCATTCCTGCTTAATATGGCTGTTATGTTTAGCTAGCTGCTTTTTGTCAAGATTCTCTCTTCATTCGTTTATGTTGCTGGTCAGAAGTAAGGTGTTTACCTTCAAATTTGGGATTTTAAAGATCTATATGACCATTTTTATGAGCAGTTCATCAGTTTGAGTTTATGGTGGATTTCTTTTGACACATACATGGACTAAAATGTGGGAAAAAGGTCATTATTTCTTAGTGGAACTGGTTTTCCATCCATTATCTTCATGCTAGGCTTATTGGACTGTTTCTAACCAGTAGTGATGTGTTTTATGGGTCTATAGGTCCAAACAGCAAAGCTTTGGTTTACAGAGGAGGTTGAAGGACGATTTCCTTCATTAGTCCATCCAATTTGTGCAGAAGAAACCCAGAGCATCCTTTAATCCATGCATCTCACAAGTGGTGTGGGCTGCTGTCCTGCAGGCTTTAGAGGTTTCCTTGCTCCTGCACAGTTGATTTTAATTGATTTAATGTTAATAGCTGCGCTAAAGCAGGGAAACCTCTAAAACCTGCAGGACAGCACCTTGAGGACCAAGTTTGGGGATGCCTGCTTTAATCCATGCATCTCCAAAGTGGTGCGGGCCGCTCTCCTGCAGGCTTTAGAGGTTTCCTTGCTCCTGCACAGCTAATTTTAATAAAAAGCTGATTAACAGGCTTTTGCTCAACTGCAATCATCAGAATCAGCTGTGCTAAAGCAGGGAAACCTCTCAAATCTGCAGGACCAGCAAGGACCAACCTTGGAAATGCCTGGTTTAATCTAAAGCGGACAGTTTCGGTGAGACGGTTAAAACCTGACATACAGTTTGAGGTTTTAAAAGGGAAATAAATGGCTTCTCCAAACTAAATGAAGACGGAAGGGCCCTCAGATCAACGGTTTGATCATTAAAAGCGGATTTGACAGGAAGCCACTCAGAGGGAACAGATATCACCTATCCAAAGCTGGTGGGTCATGTTCAACCTGCTAAGGAGTATTCATAAAAACAGTTTGGGTTTATATATAAGTGCAAGTATATAACTTCTGACTATATTTGCATTTAAATCCACAATAAACTACAACTTCAAGGCCCAAATTTCGTATTCGTTCCTGAGTTGGAAACTCAAAGCTTTAGGTTCACATTAAAGATGAGTGGATGTAGGAAGCAAACATGAAGGTGGGATTTGTTCGCTCTCTTTCCTGGGTGTATTCAGTGTTTTTTTTTGGAAGCATCAAACCACAACCAAACAGGCTGCAGATCTAATTAATATAGATCTGTTAAAGCGTGCCCTGTGTTCTGGGCCTCTGTTACAGAACCTCTTCATCCATTTACAGCCTGAAAAAGGACGTGTTTGTTCAGGCTGGTGGTGAGGGATAAAAAAGGGAGAAAACGTTTTTGTCCTTAGTTGTTTCTTTTTTTTTTTTTTTTTTTAAGGAGTGTGGGAAAGTTTAAAACGTCTCTCCGATGTAAATAGTTCTTAAACGTTTCTTTTATTCCAAACATTACATGGAACCTTAAAGAACATGTCGACTGTGTTGCATCTGTTTGGAGCCGTCGTTCCCGCCCGCCTCGTCCCGAGCGAGGTTGGTCGGAAAAGGTCACAGCAGATTTTCTTACGAATATATCAGGTAGTTCTTGCATTTGCATCCTGTACTGTAATTATTTACAACCGTTTACTGCTTGTACTGCAGCTTTTGTAGATTGTCCTGAGGTCTTCTTGCTTGACAGAAGATAAAATAAAAAAATGTCTTCCTCTCTGCAGAACACAACAGTTAAAGCTGAACAATAAAAAAAATTGAGCAAGATGAGAGTTTATTGTGAAGATTTGTCCATGAAATAACTTACAAGCATTAACTTCATATTCCTTTTGATCTTTATGGTACATATTTCTAGGCGACCACGAGATGCATATTGGCTATAAAATGTAATAAACATGAATCTACCAGCTCATTCATGTTTGTTAATTTAAGACCATTGAATAATAAAAACATATTATTCATCTGGGTAAAATAAACTCCTTCGATAAAAAATAGAAAAAAAAAATCTTCTTGAAATGGCAGATTAAACCAGACAGGGAAGAATCGGAGCATTAATGGGCCGGCTGCTCAGGGTGGATCCCCATGGTTTTGTAGATCTCCTTGAGGAGCAGCAGCGCCGTGTCTTCGGATTGCCTGTAAAATGACGGAGACGGGAGAAAACTGATAAACGCCGGTGATCTAAACATGGATTCAAATAAATATATCTGGCCTTAATCTCAGCAAGAAGATAAAATGACAATGGGATATTTTTGCCCTTGGAAATAAGACACTGAAGTTCTTTTTTTTTTATTAATTTTAAACATGAATCAGTCCAATGCCAAACTGAACTGCCTTATCAAATGACAGAAAATACACTTTTTATATATAAAATGTAATAAATTTCTACAGTGGTTTCCGGTATTTCTCCCATTTCCACACCTGATCCTTAGATTTATCGGTTGTTTTGTTCTCCATAGAAAGATAAGAGCTCTGAAGTTGTGCACGTTTGTTTTCATGAAATTATCTAAAGGTAAGTAGTTGATTCACCAAAATACTGCAAAAACTGAAATTAAATTTTCCCTTAAATTCAGGTGGTTATTAAGACAATTTTCCGATGGAATAATATGGTCTAAAGCAGGGGTGCTCAAGTCCAGTCCTCAAGCGCTACCATCCTGTAACTTTTAGAGGCATCTCTTTTCTAGCACACCTGAATCTAAAGCCTCAATCCCCTCATTTAGCCCAGCAGAGGCATGGTAACGAGCCATTCATTTGATTCAGGTGTGTTAAAAATAGTTGCATCAAATAGTTGCAGGATAGTAGCTCTTGAGGACTGGACTTGAGCACCCCTGGTCTAAAGTATGAGAAAAATCTTAGATCCAGTGCAAAACGTGTAATTGTCTTATTTATGCTAATTCTACTGGCAGATCATATAATTAACCTGTTTAAATTTATTTAGATTTATTTTGTCATTCTGTATATACAAGTGTAAAAAGGAAATTTCATTTTTTAAAGTGCAGCCTTGATAAGGTAAGCAGCAGCAGTAGTTGTTGTTGAGCTGCTACTACTGCCTCCAGCTCCTGAAGCACTCGCTTCTCCTGGCTCAGGGGAGGAAGAGGACGATGCTGTGAGGGTGGTAGCCCGCTGGGTTGAAGAGGCTGAAGTGGTTGAAGCAGCAGTGGTGCCATCGGCAGGTTTAGCAGCGACAGACGATGCTGGAGAAGGTGTGGAAGCCGGAGGGGGCCGGGAGGAGCCAGCTGGGGATGTTTCAGAATTTAGCAGGGAAGCATCTAGAGTGCTCTCCTCATTTTCACCTGCAGAGGGCAGTGCTTCCCCTCTAGATGCTGAAGATTGCCTGGGAACAGTCTCAGAGGAGCCTCCATTCACGCAGAGCTCTTTGTTTCTATCGGTACGGTACAGCATCAGCCCCCCCAGGCCAAAAGTACTGCTGGACGCAGCCAAGACCCCGTCAGAATGATGGCGCAGCAGTTACATAGCTCCTTTTTTTAAAAAGAGAGAGTTCGGGTCGGAAATTATCCATCTGTTTTCCAACGAGTGGATATTGGAGAGCAGGATTGATGGAAGCGTGGTCTGTGGGGATTTCTCTTTAGCTTCGCAGTTAGCCCCCCCCTCCGTCCATTATTTTCTGCTGTTGTTTTGTTAACGTCAGTCCGTAGCACTCCGCAGCGTTTTTAAGGGTCAAAAATATCATTTTTTTAAACCATTTTGTGACCGTAGCTCCAGCAGGCGATGGCGATCATAGATGCATAACATAAATTAGGCTTATTTTAGGGAACTTTTACTTATTCTTTAGATCAGTTTTTGCAGTGATGTATCCTGTGGTCACATGTTGAGCATTATACGATAAATGATTTCAAAAGAGTTCAGGCTTGTTTTTTAGCTGTTTGATCAGTTTTCTTTTTCTTAGGGCTGAAACAATCTGATAATCTATTATTGAAATAATCTGCAAATAATTGAGTTATCGATTATCGTTAACAGTAGTAGCTGTAAAACAGGCCTTTAGCTGATGGAGTCCAAACACCCACTTAGAGCAGTAATTATATCCAAAAAAAAAAAATTAAAAAAATATTAATTTCGTAAAAAAATCTTTAATAATCGGATAGCAAAAGGTTCATTAATCAATGAATCGAAAAACAAATTGAAAGATTAATTTATTCGCGAAATAATTGTTAGTTGCTGCCCTACTTGAAATAAGATTTTGTTTCAACAGTTTTATAATCTCAACCTCTGGATGTAACATCATCTTCAGCTAATTTTATTATTTTACATTTTGTAATATAATATTAGCCTCTTTACTTCAATAATATAATCTAGACATAAAACAAGGATTTAAATAGTTTGGGAAAACATGTAGCTTTGCTTGATTTCCTTATTTGAACAATGAGTATTTGATTATTTTCATCTGCAAATGAATCTTTATTATTTTTCTTTATTAAAAAGAGGAATTGAATTGTTCACTTCCATGTTTCTCACATGATATAATTAAGTAAAAATATCGGCAGAATTACATTTTTTTTTAATCTAATTACTAAATTAAAGGTCAGAGAAATATTTAGAATAGTTGGATTACTAAAGTAATCACTAACAAATTGAAATTAATTATTTTAAAAGTTATTCCAGCTTTTAAAACAACAAAACAGCAACTTGTAAAATAAATGTATAATAAATGTATAGAACTGTTGCAGTCAAATGAAAAACTTTCTTATACTGTTTTTGTCTCTGCTCTTATAAAGGTGAGCTTTCCTTCAGATTTCTAAATTTATTATCCAGACTCGTGTTTCTGTACGTCTCCCGAACATTTATATCCTTCTAGTCCAAATCCGTTATAACAGGGTGTTTTTATCTGACCCTAAAAAGTGGATTAGTACTGAAATATAAAGATTTCGAGATTATTTACCTAAGAAGTATAATGAGACAATTTCCACTTTTTGTGATTTTGAGAATTTTTTGTTTTACATAAATGTGCATCTTAGTAAATCCTAAATATTTCAGCTCTACACTTAAAAAACGACCTAGAAATAAGCAAAGATTTCTTAAATTAAGTTTTTTTACCCTAGATTTGAGAAGGTAAATGAGATAGTTTGACAATGGAATCAGTATTTTTACTCTTAAAATAAGATAATTAGATAATAGTCACTTTAAATTAGACAATGTTTTCTTATTTTAAGTGTAAATTGTCTTGTTCCATTGCCAAAATGTCTCTTTTATCTCCTCAATTCAAGAACAAATGCACTTATTTTAAGAAAAAATTACTTATCAAGATTTTGATTTTTTGCAGTGTATTTAGTGCAGTAAAGAAAAAAGCTCTCGTACCAGTAGCAGAGATGACTCTGCAGGGCAAACAGATACTCGTTGAAACTCTCGATGGGCTTCTCCTGCAGCACGTAGTCGATCCGGTTCCCTCCGTTCAGCATCCCGATCTTCACCTGCGGCTCCTCTTCTCTTTGCAGCTCAAGACTCTCTGGGAGTTTATGCTCTGTGAAAAACAAAAACAAGGTTGTGAATAACCGACCTGAGGGGAAGCAATAATAAACCCAACAACCTGCAGCCGTACCTTCGTGCACGTGCTTCTCCTCCTCTTCGATCTGGTTGGCCACGATGGCCAGCTCGGCCTGCAGGGTGGATGAGGTGTGCGCCCGAGCAAACTCGTTGAGCGTCTGCCAGGCGCTCCTCAGGGAGCTGATGACGCCCTGCTTCAGGTCTGAGCCCATCCTGGAGAGGCTCTCCTTCAGCTCTGAAACACAGCGATAGTTCATTATTCAGAAAAACAGCGTCTTCATTTTAATGAAACAGAGGATAGTTAAATACTAACAAACCTTCTGGGAAAATGCCCTGCTTTTTAAAATGTAAAAAAAATGACGCCATAAAAATATGTCAAAAATCTTCAGTGTTAAATATTTATTGCATATATTAAAGTATTACAGGGTTCCTACAGCATAAGGCACGTTAAATTCAAGACTTTTTAATGCCACTTGAAATAAATATTTAAGACCAAATTCACAAGAAACACAAGAAAAACCTGCTTGCGACAACTTAACCCAAAGGTTTATTATAACATAAACCACTGCACTAATGTTTCAAATTTTTAAAAGCTTCCCAAACAAGAAGAAAGCTAAAAACACACAAATGACAGATATATTTGAACAATTATTTAACTGAATTCACAAACTTTGTTTTAGCAGGGAACAAAACAAATCAGTTTTAAAGCCACAACATAACCAGCGCTAAGTCTTTTTTGCAGCTATTTTTCTTTGTATTGTTTTCTTAGTATGTTTGATTTGGTGATAAGTGGAGGCGTTGCAGAGACAAGGGTGGAACTAAACTGAGAAATACCGGCTGTTTCTCTGTAACTCGATTTTGACGCTTTGTGTTTCGTGCTTCGCATGTGCGACTCCACTGCCTTAGTTCCCATCGTTCTGAGCTTGAATCGCTTCTTGTTCCCTGGTTTTAGCCATGGAGAAAACTCTTGGCTGGAGCCAATTTTGGTTCCATTTACACTTGAAAAAGGTCAATTTTAATGTTTTATTTAGATTGCAAAAATAAATCGGAATAAAAAAAATTCCTATTTATGATGTTTTAAAAATTAAGACCTACAAAAGACTAATTTAAGACATTTTAATACCAATCAAGGCCTTAGTTTTATTTTGAAGAGTTCAATGACCTTTAAGACTTTTTAAGGACCCGCGGGAACCCTGTATTAATGTCACCTAACATTTGAATGAAATATAATAGAATTCTATAGTTCAAGGCTCTAGATTTTACATCAATTATCTACTCAGGCAAACCAGAATGGAAAAAAACATGCAACACACTGCAGATTAAAAAAAAATTACTTTAAATTTCTGTATAAATTGCTTTCATTTTTTATTTTTGTTTTAAATAAAATTAAGTTATTTCATCATTTTAAATGTATTAAATTCTTTAAAGGTGGATTTTGAAATGAAATGGTATATTTAATACTTAAATAAATGTAGATTTAATAATTTCATTTCAGAGATGACATCACAACGACAGTGAAAAAGATATTTAGACTTTAGGGACTCCGGCTTTAGTGAACGCCACAGTTTAAATACGGCTCTGAAAGTCGTAATAATTCATTTTTTATTTTTGTTTTAAATAAAATGAAGTGAATTTATCTTTTTAAATGTATTAAATTCTTTAAAGGTGGATTTTGAAATGAAATGGTATATTTAATACTTAAATAAATGTAGATTTAATCATTTCATTTCAGGGGTCACATCACAACGACGGTGAAAAGCATCTTTAGACTTTAGGGGCTCCTGCTTTAGTGAACGCCACAGTTTATATACGGCCCTGAAAGTTGTAGTAATTCAGGGTTTTTTTTCAGAAGGATCTAAGTAGAGCCTCTAAATGCAAAGAAGAAGAAATAGGAGTGAGAAAAAAAGTTGAGTAGGCAATTTTTTTTATACCACAATGAAACTGAAACTTTTTTTCTTAACTGGTTTGTTTGTTGCTTTAGCTGGATTTTACATTAAAGGTAAAACTGTAAGTTTTAAAATTTTTTACACAACAAAATCTGAGTAAGAGATTAAGTGAGATGTTATATGAAACTCCAAGTGTTCCCTTTTATTTTCACACTAAACAAACCAAAACTGAGATTCAGCAACAAAATGTGGCCAAAACTAAGAACTGAAACCGTTTCTGCTGAGATGATGGTTGGTCTTTAAAAAAAGCTGTCAGAGATTACGACATAAAAGTTTCATACCGAGATGAAGCCTCTTCCTTCCTTTGTAGTGTGGGATTAGAACGGGTTTCAGGTCCAGGTCTGGGACGATCATGGGCTCGATTCTGTATGCCACCGGGTCCAACTGAAACAAGGCAGACACAGATGGCGTCTAGAAAAGCGTCACCAGCGGCCGTTCCCTGCAGGGTTTAAAGAGCTTCTTACCGGATGATAGATGTTGAAGAACCCCTTGCAGGTGGGCAGCTGGTACGTCTCGTCGATCTTCTCCAGCCCTCTGACCGTCAGGAACATACCGATTGGAGAACCCAGAGCGAAGAAGTTCACCGGCTCAAAGTCCAGGCTGTGGTAGATCACAGAAACCTGCAGAACCAGAAACAAAGTCGCTCGAGCTCCGCTCCATTCATCTAGAACCTCTATTTCTTTTTTTAGTGATGAACTCTGATGATTACTTGTCCAGTTCCAACTTCAAAGTAGTTGTAGTTGACGTGGACAGAGGAGACGGAGCCGACCGCCGGTGGCTTCGCCGCGGCGCTTCCAGCAGGATCTTCAGACGCTGGCTGAGGCACCGCAGCCTGACCCTCCTTCATCTCTGCTTTCTTCTCTTGGGCAGCTTGGCGTGCAGCCTGGACACCACAAACAACCGTTACCTGCAGCAGGTCCAAAGGCTGCTAAGGTTCACAAATCGAGCTTACCTGTCTGCTCAACCGCTCCTTCACAAACTTGGCCATTTTCTTCCGAGGACCCAGTGGGATGCCCATTTCTTTCAGGTCCTCCATCGTGCACATGAGCTGAAGCAACAGAGAGAGAAACTTTTATCACCGTTTTTCCTACTTAAGCTCTTTTTTTTTTACTTCTCTAAACCATTATCTTTCTTACGAAGGATTCTTCGTCAATCTTCTCCTGATCAAAGATGCTCTTGTATTCAGAGAGCCCCAAATGTTGCAGCATGGCGGCGAGGTCCTCAAACTCTTCCTCGTCCTCTTTGGCCGGCTCCTCCCCAGCAGCAGGACTGACAGCGCTGTCCGTCTGTGACGTAGGAGCCATCACCTGGAACAACCAGCAGCTTTTTTTAGGTTCATGCATAAGCTGTGATAAAATCTTTCAGCATTCTCTATTCGGTTTGTTGCTCCACCTGTTTGGCATCTCCGTTAGTAGCAGGCATGGGTGGCATCATCAGCGCTGGGGAGACGGTTTTCTGATTGGAGAGCAGATCGAAGAGAATCAGAGATCCTGCAGAAACATCAAAGAAAGCAACGATTAAAATTAGAGGCAGAAACATGAGCCTGCTGACAAAAAAAAAAAAAGACAAACGGATTTGGTTTTACCCAAGCTGTGTCCGGCCACTGATATTCCTCCCCTGTAGTCGGGGTTCCTCTTCATAAACAGAGCGTAGAGCCGGTTGATCTCCAGAGCTACGGTGTCCATGATGGTCTGGCAGTAAGTTGGACTGTTGTAGAAAAGGACGTCCAGCAGAGTCTCGTTTGTAAAGTGACGCAAACGTCCGGTGCTGGGTAGGGTGATCTTTTTTATCCTCCTAGAAAAATGCAAAACGTTTGGGATTTTTTTTTTTTTTTTTTTACAGTTTACAGTTTATTTTCGGAACATAAGTTCAGTTTCTGCAGCTTCAATCAGGCCTCTTTCCTGCCAAACCTTTACACTAAAGAAACAGAACCTGTTTGTCAACAGGAAGTAGGAGGAGAGCCGTGGCCTAGTGGTTAGGGCATTGCACTTGGATGGCAGCCGCTCAGTGGCAGCCCACTGCTCCCCAAAGGGATAGATTAAATGCAGAGAGTGAATTTCGTTTCTATTCTTCTTCCTTTCTAAATCTATTCTAATAATTCCTTTCTTTAAAAGAATCGCAATAATTCCTCTAAAAGAGCAACGACGACGCATTACAAATCAGCAACATCTAAAGATCTGCAGAACAAAGACTCTGAACTCTTCAGAAGAACATAATGCCAATGTTCCAGTAGGGTGGTGGTAGTGTGATGGTATGGGGCTAGTTTTCTGCTGTAGGAGCGGCCTGACTTCCTATAACGATTGAAATCGTGAAAAACTCCTAAGGAAACGGTCCGGTTCACAGTTTATGTGCTTTAGCTCAGAAACAGCAGAAATATGATCCAAAACAGATGAGCGGGTTCACCTCTAAGCAGGTCAAAGATGCTCGATGTCCTGCTTGGGCGGATCAGCTGTTATTTCTCCACAGAGAGAGCTAGGATGGTCATTGAAGAAAAGCCACATCTAAAGATGTCACCTTATATCTTGAGATATAAGGTGACATATAAGCTAAATATCATTCTTGTTCAGAAGATAATGATAAAATACTAACCTGCAGGGTGGCCTGTAGGGGTGTAAATAACATTCATCATGGCGATTCGATTATTTTCGATACTCAAGAATACACCACGATACGATTCGATTCAAGCATTTTTTTTTTTTTTACCTTACAGGCTAGGCAATGTTTCAAATTTGAAATAAATCAATGAAAGCTGTAATATCGTTATACATTTATTTTTATTTTTTTTAGAAACAACAGCAAATAACAGAAGTAGAAAAGTTGCATCAAAAAATACTGCAAAAATACTGCAGAAAATCAGTGCAATGAGTGCAATGCAATACCTCGGCTCCAGACGTCCCCGACCCCTTTAGAGACGCTCCGCTGCACCTCTCCCAAATTGTAGCTGACCGCAGACAGGAGGCCGGCTTGTTTTGTTTTTATGATCGAAATTGCTGAAAACAACTCGTGAAGTTTGACACGCTAGAAGAGTGAGGTGCGCGAGAACGCTGGGACCCTTTTTCCACCTGCATCTCCGCTCTTTTTGGCCCTCATGTCTCTCCGTCGTCGGACTAAACTCGCCCCCACTTCCTCGCCGCCTCGGCCGTATCTAGACCCACAGCGTGTAGCACAGACCACGCTTCAATATTGAGCATAAATCAAAAATGTCTGCGTCAAGCTCACTGCAACACACTGCTGTAAAAGTATAACCAGGAAGCGAGGTAGGAGGGCAAAATAGTTTTAGCGCCACCACAGCACGGGAGGAGAATTACGTCCAGGAGCAAATGGATAAAAATAGACCGGAGGAAAAAAAAACATGAATCGATTCTCTTGCGGACGTATCGATGCATCAGATTGTCGGCTGTTGGATCGATGCATCGATACAAAACGATTATTATTTACACCCCTAGTGGCCTGCCTTCCCACTGCACCAGTAAGGTTGTTAGAAACCCCAGCCTCACCTGTCTACGCCCGTGGCATCGCCATGCAGAGCCGTATGCCACTGGACAGGAAGGAACTCCACCCGGCTGATGGCGTGTTCGTCCAGCGACTTCTTAAAGTGACTGTGCAGCAGCTTCAGGGACACGCTCCGGAAGTCATCCACTGAAAGCAGAGGATTAGGCATAAAGAACAGAAAGAACGACACAGAGGAGAGCAGAGCTGGCTGGATGATAAAAGCCGCTCACCGCACTCGATCATGCTCCTGAACCTCAGGTCGCAAACAGGGCCGATGCCGTGGACCATGAACACCAGATGATCCACTGTGGGAAGCTCACCTGGACCATTCACACAGCAGAAATGAGAACTTAAAAACAAGCTTCATCCCACCTCCTGTTCCTGCTCTGCTTATTCAAACCAACTGATTACGTAAAAAAACCGAGGAGCAAAATACCATCAGGCACTTCATCGTGGTCATCATCAATCCCTCTCTTCACCACCCGCGGCCTCGTCTGCCCGTCCTGAGTGGTGCCCCACTCGTCTGGAATGGAGGAGGGCTGAAACTGCACTATGACCTGCAGGAGCAACGTTTCCATCAAAACCACTGATCCAAACCATCTCATCCTCTAACTTATTTCTGATCGCCCGCCTACCTTTGGATTGTGCATCACGATCGTCTCTCCGGATGGAAACTCCAGTCTCCGATGCCACTGGTTAGTAGATACAGCTTTTTTATATTCTGCCTGAAAGTGTAACAAATATGAAACAGGATTTAAACATCAAGTCACAGTTATATCGGAGTCTAGATAAGTAATTTTTTCTTAAAATAAGTGCATTTGTTCTTGGATTGAGGAGGTAAAAGAGACTTTTTGCCAATGGAACAAGACAATTTACACTTAAAATAAGAAAACACAATTGCATTGTCTTATTTCAAGTGAATATTATCTAATTATCTTATTTTAAGAGTAAAAATACTTATTCCATTGGCAAATTTTCTCATTTACCTACTCAAATTAAGGTTAAATAAACTTAATTTAAGAAATTTTTACTTATTTCTAGATTGTTTTTCCAGTGATTGAAGTTTCCCAACATTTGTAATAAACAGGAATTACATGATAATCTCTTATCTGTTCATCTAAGCTGCTCTTTTAAGGTTATAATCGGATTATTTGGTTGCGGCCATACAAATTGTGTTTTTGGATTTATTCTCTACTATAAGGAGTATCTGTAAAGCATGGTGGTGGTAGCATCATGCTGTGTGGTACATTAACAGAGTATAAAATGAAGATTACCTTGAAATAATTAATCACCTCAGACTATAAGTCTATAGTCGTAATGGCGGCGCCCCTGGCGGCAGCGGCTGGCATACAGCTCCGACCAACTTGCGGAGATTTTCATAAAAATATACCGCCAAACCCGCTGCAAACTGCTTATCTACCTAGCAGATCATCACTGGACCGCCAGCGCCTGCTGGAGTTACGATCATGCAGTGTATTTGGACTTGTAACCACCACTTTTTTTCTATAACTCGTGCCATTGTGAAATATCAATGCAACGTTCATAAGCTGTATGTAACGCAATTTCGTTCTGTATGCACCCTGTGCATACAAAATGACAAATAAAGAAGTCTAAGTCTAAGTCTAAGTCTATAAGCTTTGGATAATCCAGCAGGACAATGAATCCAGTTAAAGACAAACTGGTTTTTAGAAACGATAAACCAGATTAACATCAGGCTTCTGGATAAACCCTCCCAGATTCCCAACCAGCTGATATTTGTGGATTATTTTTAAAGTAAAGATAAATTCACATTTGTCAGTCGATATTCATTAGTGCATTTAGCAGCCATGCCTTGAGATCATCTGAAGCTCATGCGTTGCAACATCAGCCATTTGCTTTCATTGTTAATAATAAGATGTGTTAATAAATGTTTATTTTATTGTTTATATTGAGACTTTCGCAACATTTCTGTCATTTCTATCACGTAAATGGGAGATGTACGGAAGCGTGTTGCATTCACAGAGAAAAAAAGTAAAGAAATTGTTCTTTTTTTTCCTGATTTAACAAGATATTTATTACAAAATTAAAAAAAGGTTGTTTTTCTGAATTAGAAAATGATGCTGCTGAGATTCTATAGTGAATGATCTGTTCCTGGTAACATTGCAGATTTCTAAGCGAGAGACGTCTTTCCAGCAGAGAGGTTTCAACGTGTGAATTTATTGAGTTAAATTCATTTTTATTTTATTTTGGGATTAAAACACAAAGAAATTCTTGTGTTTTTTAGTTATATAGAGGAGATTACTACCGTATTAGTTTTTTCAACTTTGCGAAAACACCTGCGTGCTGCTCATGGCACAGTAGTTTCCCCTCCTTTTCTCATTCACAGTTTATCTCGTAAATTCAGAAAATTTAACGTTTTTATTCGTTTTTGTAAAAATAAGCCCACTTATCCAGAAAAACCGACCAATTCCTTTCTTCTTTCAGATGAATGCGACACGCTTCCATAGAGACGGGACAATGCTGGGTTTAAAAAAAACAAATCCTCCCTCCTAAACCAACTGGCAGCACATATGAGGGATTGCTTGACCTGATGTTTAAATAATCGGCCTTAAACCATCTGCATCAAGTTAGAACTGAAACCATTTTTTCCCGCGAAACAGATGAGTTCATCCCTTATCGACGGCTGAGCTGCAGCTTCGCTAATGCACATGTGACATCCAAAACTGCATGTTTGATTTAGAAAGCAACTCTAAACTCAGACATGTTCGCCCAGTTTCTGCTTCCTGTTGTTTTCACGTTTGCGGATCAATCACCAGGCGCCGGCGTCTCTACCAACCTCCAGTTTTTCACTAAACTCCTCCGAATACGGAACGAAGCGACTGTCCTTGTCGCCCTTGTAGAACCAGGTGCAGCGCCGGACCTCTGTGGGCTCCTCCTCCCAGTAGACTGCGGTGCGGATGCGGTCGTAAAGGTGCACATCGTAACGCCCCCCGTCTGTGCGTACCACCACATTTTCTGGATCAGGTTGAACTGGAAGAACAGAAGGTTTTTTTCAGTCTGGGAGGTTCTACTCTCTGTGCCTAAAGCATTCAGATATTTCGCTTCTGTACCTGAGTTGTACGTCTCCTCGAGCTGAAGCGAGTCAATAATGCTCAGAGGAAACCAGACACTCTTCGACTCCACCTGCTTGCAGTAGAACCAGTGAGGCTGAACTTGTTCGTAGATGTTGTAGTTGTACTGCATCATTGGACCTGCAGGAACCACAGCTCCGGCGGTGGAGGCCGGAGCCGGAGCCCCTTTAAAATGAGTGGGAGGAGGCTGAAAAAGGAATAATAAGACATTTAAAATCTCGGAATAAAATTTCTAGATCTGTAAAGCAATATATAAACATATCACCATCACTTCGCACCAAGCGTATGACTTATAGATCTGCAAAAATCTTGCAGTTACTTGGGTAACTGCGCCTTAGTTTGAAACCCAAAAACGAACACTTTTTTCTCGCTACTGCCACCTGCAGGCCAGGAAGATATCAATATTTGCGATAGCTAAAAAAACTTTTTTGTCACTTTTTTTTTTAATAATTGTACGGAAGAGGATTAGGGCCACTAAATAAATGACAGACGTTAACTGATTTTTTTATTTTATTTCAGTTTAACATTGGAAAAAAGTGGAAATTCTGACTTTTTTTCTCAGAATTATGACTTTAATCTAAGAATTATGACTTTTTTTTCCCTCAGAATTCTTAATTTTTTTTATCAGAATTCTGACTTTAAAGGAATAGTACACCCAAAACATGATTAGCCGCCATTTTCTACTCACCCCCATGCTGAACAACACTCTGGAGTATTTTTTGATATCTCAAATGCATCTGGAGATCTGGTAGGCTTCTTGCTGTCTGCTGACATTCAAATAATGGAGGTCTATGTCGCCCGAGGCAGAAAGGTCCATAAAAGTCCACAAAAAACGTGTCAATATTCCTCCATAGTGCTCGTCCAATGTATTTCAAGTGTCCTGAGTGGGTAGCATCCAGAATTTACTCGAAACGAAGTCAATTAGAATGTTTTAGAGCATAAACAGTAGTGTATAGGATTTCCTAAAAGCGCGTTCACGAGTCTACGGAAACCGCGGCAGACCAAACCAGATGAAAGTGCGCATTCCGCTCGGCAAAGAACTCATGCTCTTCCTCAACACTGAAGTCCTCAGACATTTTTCTTTCGTTGTTTCTTTCTTTGCACAGGTAAACAGCACATTTCTTCTTCCACGCTTGCATTATCGGCAGAGCAGACGCTGAATGCGCACTTTCATCTGGTTTGGTCTGCCGTGGTTTCCGTAGACTCGTGAACGTGCTTTTAGGAAATCCTATACACTACTGTTTATGCTCTAAAAACATTCTAAATGACTTCGTTTCGAGTAAATTATGGATGCTACCCACTCAGGACATTGGAGGAATATTGACACGTTTTTTGTGGACTTTTATGGACCTTACTGCCTCGGGCGCTGGGCACCTCCATTATTTGAATGTCAGCAGACAGCAAGAAGCCTCCCAGATCTCCAGATGCATTTGAGATATCAAAAAAGTACTCCAGAGTGTTGTTCAGCATGGGGGTGAGTAGAAAATGAAGGCTAATCATGTTTTGGGTGTACTATTCCTTTAATCTCAGAATTCTGACTTTTTTTTCTAAGAATTCTTAATTTTTTTATCAGAATTCTGACTTTAATCTTAGAATTCTGACCTTTTCTCAGAAAAGGAATAATAAGACGTTTAAAATCCTGAATCAAATACCAAATGAAATGAAGATCTTAGATCTGTTTTTATGTTTCAAATCAGTTTAGGAGCTGAAGTAAAGCGGAACCTACTGTTGTAAATGTAGGAGCTGGAGGGGGGAACATCTGGGGGGACGAGCTGAGAGAGCAGGGGTTCTGCTGAGGTGTGCGTGTTGGCGGCAGGATCTCCGGGGCTGGAATGTAAGGGCTGGCTCTGCTGCTGGTGGGGGTGTGCCGGTACGGGTTGTGAGCCTGCGACTGTGTTTGAGGCGGCAGCGTCATGGTGGTAGGGGGAGGAGTGTGACGCCCAACTGGGCTTTGGTAAACGGCGCCGCCGAACACTTGGGGAGGGGGCATCATTTGTGAGCCAGCAGATGGTGGCGGAGGAGTTGGAGCCATGCTGCTGCTGTTGGGAACGGGAGGCGGTCCGGTTGATGCGTGCGCTGAAGATGAGGCCGACGGGGGGCATGGTGACTGGCCCAGAGAGGCGAACGGGTCAGAGCTGGTAACAGGGCTGGAGAAGTAGCTGAATGTGGAGGAGGATACCGGTGCATTGGCAGACGTCTGACCGAGAAAGCTGTCTTCTTCTCCAACGTCAGTGGAATCTTCTTAAGGATAGAAAATTAAAAAAGGAAATCTAATGACTCAATAATACTTCAAACAAATTAAGAAAAAATGAAACACTGTAGAAATAGAAAAATATAAAATCCTCCTTCTCACATATAAAGCCTTAAATGGCCAAGCTCCATCTTATATCAGAGATCTGATTGTTCCTTATGTTCCTAACAGAGCACTTCGCTCTCAATCTGCAGGTTTACTAGTGGTTCCTAGAAATTCTAAAAGTAGAATGGGAGGCAGATCTTTTAGTTATCAGGCTCCTCTCCTGTGGAACCAACCACCAGTTTTAGTCCGTGAGGCAAACACCCTGTCTACTTTTAAGGCTAGACTTAAAACTTTCCTTTTTGATAAAGCTTATAGTTAGAGGGGCTCAGGTTATCCTGAGCTATCTCTATAGTTATGCTGCTATAGGCTTAGACCGCTGGAGGACATAGGGACCCCCATTTCATCATTCTGCTTCATTCTCTCTCTATTCTTCCACTCTGCAGAATCTGTTAGTTCAATCTCTAACGTTCTGCTCTCTCTGCTTTTCCTCAGAGTAGCTTTGCCTCGTCTGTTCCTGTTTGGCTGTGACGTCATCCTGGAGAGAAATAGCAGCTGTGCTGCTTCCATCAACACCCTTGTTTATAGATGCTGGAGATCAGCCTGTTTTCCAGTGTGGTCCTGTTTCTCTGACTGTGAGAGCGCTCTCTTCATCCTCTGGCATGGGAGCTGGCTCGGAGCTCGTCTGCCTGGCTGTGTGTTTCCTGGACGGGGCCGCCTTTTACAGCCGCTTTTTGTATGTCTGTATCTGTCTCCTTGAACCACAGTCAGCCTCAGCAGAGTCGGGTTCTGTTGGAGGTTTCTCCCTGTTAAAAGGGAGGTTTTCCTCTCCACTGTCGCTACAAGCATGCTTAGGTTGAGGGATTGCCTTCTAGTCAATGAGTCGATACAATCAACTGGTTTTCCTTAGATAGCAAACTTGAATCAATCTGACTGGATGATCTGGTGAACTGTAAAGTGCCTGTAGATGACGTGTGTAGTTAATTGGTGCTATATAAATAAATAAAAATAAATAGATCCACTACAACCAACAACCTCTGTGGTCTTCATGTTTGTTTTAATCTCCCAGGGCAGCTCTAACTGCAACCTCCTTTCTCCAAATCCTCAGCACATGTTAATACCATCAGATAACTGTCTGTCAATTTTCTCCAGATAAACCATATTATCACAATAAACTGTTTCTGATCAAAGAGGAAACAAGTAGTACCTCAGTCCTCAAAAACATCTTTACAAACTGTTTATGAGGGAAACAAGCAAATCCATCTTCCAAGGATGTTTACATAATCAATAAATGTCCCTTACTATTCTTTAAAAGTAAGCCTGTGTTTAATATTCATTGTTTTGTTTTCTTCATAGTGTGTTTAATATTTTATAGGGTGTTTTCTAAGGCTTGTTCCCTAACCTAATGACTGTAATCAATGCAGAAAACTTAAAAAAACAACAAATGATTCGGATAATTGTTTCACTTTTACACTTCTCCATTTAACATATATTATTCTCAGCAGTTTGTTTCTGTAAAACAAACGACAGCAAGTAAAACACAAACTAGTCCACTGGGCTAAGCTCCCAACCATTCATTAAACAGTGTTTCTCACTCATTTAGCCCCTAACAGCAGAGTGTTAGCCCGACTAGCATATTAGCTTTGCTTGCTAACAGCCTAACCGAGCTTTAAACATTTCCTCGGTCTCTGCTTCCTCTCACCTCCTGACAGCACCGCCGGCCCGGTGGCCTGGCTCACCGGCATAAACGGCAGGTTGAAGTTAAACTCCGGAGCAGCGCTGAACAGTAAATTCGCACTACTGTTGGGGACATTATTATTTTTTCTATCTGCCATTTTTCCCCTGAATTACACGTAGCCAGAACCGGGGACGCGGCGCAGTGGCGTCGGCTGTCCAACTGTTGGTTTTTTTTTCCAAGCGCAATAAAATGTCTAGATCTGTAAAGCTATATATAAACACATCAATATGACATCGCACCAAGCGTATGACTTATAGATCTGCAAAAATCTTGCCGTTACCTGGGTAACTGCACGTTAATTTGAAACCCAAAAACAAACACTTTTTCTCGCTACTGCCACTTGTAGGCCAGGAAGATATCTATATTTGCGATAGCTAAAAAAAAATTTTTGTTACTTTTTTAAATAATTGTAAGGAAGAGGATTAGGGCCACTAAATAAATGAAAGACGTTAACTGATTTTTAAATTTTATTTCAGTTTAACATTGGAAAAAAGTGGGAATTCTGACTTTAATCTCAGAATTCTGACTTTTTTTCACAGAATTCTGACTTTAATCTCAGAATGCTGACTTTAATCTCAGAATTCTCACTTTTTTTCTCAGAATTCTTAATTTTTAATCAGAATGCTGACTTTAATCTCAGAATTCTCACTTTTTTTCTCAGAATTCTTAATTTTTAATCAGAATTCTGACTTTAATCTCAGAATTCTGACTTTTTTTTCTCCACAGAATTCTGACTTTAATCTCAGAATTCTGACTTTAATCTCAGAATGCTGAGTTTTTTCCCATATTAAACTGAAATAAAATGTAAAAATCAGTTAACTTTTTTTTTTTTCAGTGGCCCGATTCCTCTTCCATATAAGTGAACTTCTGTTTTTAACCTATATTTGAAGGGATTAGTGGTACAACAGAATTACACACAAAAAAAAAACATCATAAGAGTCATAACAATATGATATACTTGACATAAATATATTTTGACATAAAATTGACTGAGGGTCTCAAACAACTTAGGCTCGCTTCTGAACATAATTTATAATAATCAACAGTTTATCAAAAAAAATAATTTAGGTGCACGTACGATTAAATCGATAAATATAAATTTCAATTGCTATATCAAAATATAACATTAAGGTCTGTCTTGTTTTTGTTTTAAGGGTTTTAAATGGAAAGTTGCCACTCTCCATATGTATTCCTAATGGGTTGTTCTACGCACAAAAAAAAGGTTAAAATGTACGTTTACGGTGCAACAATTTTTTTTTTTGTACCCAAAGTCTTTATTTAGAACATCATGATACAGAAAAAAAAGAACTTATGACGTCATAACGGGAATGCTTTTCCAACAGACAATCTTGAGCACCTTTATAGACTCACACAAATTTATAGACTCACAAAAGCAGCTTATTAAATTTCTCAGATGGCTTAAACTTATCTAAAAAAAAAAAATCTGCATTTATGAACAAAAAACGTTCCCAGTATTTAATTTACAAAGATATATATATCGCAAATGTAATTATTGTTAAAGTTCAGTTCCTCAGGTTAGGAGCCATCCACACATGTTGATGAAATATGATCTAAATCCCTACGGTGGCTGAGAAGTGCAAAACACATTTACAATTCAAAAACACATTAACAAATAAAAAACAAAATAACATTTGAAGAAACAAAATTATATTTTGTGAAACAAATGTATTTTTGAAATAAAAGTTTAAATTTTTAAAAACAAATTTACATTTTAGCAAACAAATTTACATTAACAAATAAACAAAATAACATTTGAAGAAACAAAATTATATTTTATGAAACAAATGTATTTTTGAAAAAAAAAAGTTTAAATTTTTAAAAACACATTTACAATTCAAAAACACATTAACAAATAAAAAACAAAATAACATTTGAAGAAACAAAATTATATTTTATGAAACAATTTATTTTTGAAAAAAAAAGTTAAAATTTTTAAAAACACATTTACATTTAAGGAAACAAATTCACATTTTAAATAAGTTAGATTTTAGGTGAGAGAAAGTTTCATTTTAGAGAAAAAAAATACATTATAGGGAAACAAATTTACATCTAAAAAAAATTGACCGTTCGGAAACACTTGTACAAGTGCAAAGACAAAACTGCAAGTGGCAAAACACTTTTACATAGCCAAAAACAAATTAACAGAAGACGGCTACACGGAAAGGGAATGTCCCAGTGACCGGATGTGACGTCACGATTACCCTGACTTGTAGTACAAACAGCTCAGTCTGTAGTCCTCCTGCTTCACGTGAAAAGTCAGCAGCGATTTTAGATGGAAAGAATTGCACTGAAGCTGTTTTTCTTAAGTTTACGCTAACCGAACAATGTTTTCAGCCAATTTACACCATTTTGTTCTTCGTGCGGACGGTCTCTGGAACTTTTACGGGACACGGACCAGGTGGCAGGACCAAGCAGCAGAGCCGGGCGTATTACTGGCCGGAGCCACTATTATTTTGTCATGTAGTTTTTTAATTACTTTTCTTTGGTATTTAATTATTTTTTGGGTATTTTTCCTGCCGTTTTTCGGCAAATGCCTTATTTATAGTACTTCTAACTAGATTATTTTATATATATATATATATATATATATATATATATATATATATATATATATATATATATATATATATATATATATATATATATATATATATAGGCTATATATTGTGATGTTATCGCTTAATAACCTGTATTAAAATGTATTCTTTATGGGTTTCTTTTTATTGTGATGTTATTGCTTAATAAACTGCATTAAAACTTTTATAATGTCACATTTACTTGATGGAACGGAGTACTTTATCTGCAAATAAGTGGCCTCGGCCGGCAGCAGCCACCATCGGCCTCTCCGATGGCAAGCTCTGCCGGCAGCGGCCACCATCGGCCTCTCCGATGGCAAGCTCTGCCGACAGCGGCCACCATCGGCCTCTCCGATGGCAGTCTCTGCCGGCAGCGGCCACCATCGGCCTCTCCGATGGCAAGCTCTGCCGGCAGCGGCCATCATCGGCCTCTCCGATGGCAGGCTCTGCCGGCAGCGGCCACCATCGGCCTCTCCGATGGCAGGCTCTGCCGGCAGCGGCCATCATCGGCCTCTCCGATGGCAGGCTCTGCCGGCAGCGGGCAACAACGGCCACTCCGATGGCAGGCTCTGCCGCAGCCACTGCCACGAATTGAGCTCGGCCCTGCTGCTTGGTCCTGCCACCTTGTACCGTGTCCCGTAAAAGTTCCAGAGACCGTCCGCACGAAGAACAAAATGGTGTAAATTGGCTGAAAACATTGTTCGGTTAGCGTAAACTTAAGAAAAACAGCTTCAGTGCAATTCTTTCCATCTAAAATCGCCGCTGACTTTTCACGTGAAGCAGGAGGACTACAGATTGAGCTGTTTGTACTACAAGTCAGGGTAATCGTGACGTCACATCCGGCCACTGGGACATTCCCTTTCCGTGTAGCCGTCTTTTGTTAATTTGTTTTTGGCTATGTAAATGTGTTTTGCCACTTGCAGTTTTGTCTTTGCACTTGTACAAGTGTTTCCGAACGGTCAAATTTTTTTTAGATGTAAATTTGTTTCCATATAATGTATTTTTTTTTTCTCTAAAATGAAACTTTCTCTCACCTAAAATCTAACTTATCTAAAATGTCAATTTGTTTCCTAAAATGTAAATTTGTTTTTAAAAATTTAAACTTTTTTTTTCAAAAATACATTTGTTTCATAAAATATAATTTTGTTTCTTCAAATGTTAATGTGTTTTTGAATTGTAAATGTGTTTTTAAAAATTTAAACTTTTTTTTTCAAAAATACATTTGTTTCATAAAATATAATTTTGTTTCTTCAAATGTTATTTTGTTTATTTGTTAATGTAAATTTGTTTGCTAAAATGTAAATGTGTTTTTAAAAATGTAAACTTTTTAAAAAAAAAATACATTTGTTTCATAAAATATAATTTTGTTTCTTCAAATGTTATTTTGTTTTTTATTTGTTAATGTGTTTTTGAATTGTAAATGTGTTTTGCACTTCTCAGCCACCGTAAAATCCTCATTGAAACAGAACAAGCATCCAGCAAAATTGAATTAGATCTAGTTTTCAAGAAAACATTAGTATGGTAAATTTTATTTCGTATTTTAAAATGAAATTAGAGATCATACCTAACTCATAATATTTAAGAATATATTTCTGTTGAAGTTGAACAGGGTATAAAAACTCTCCCAATTAATTAGTATGTTATCTAGAATATCTATACCTTCTATATGTAGCTGATTTATAGGAGAGGAAGTTTTTGATGAATAAATATCTTCTTTAATCATAGATCTAAGAGCAAATGGGGTAGCTTTTATCAACTTATTATAAGTCAAAAAATAAATAGAATTTCAAGTCAACTTCTTCAACGATAAGAAATCACCATCATCATTCAGGAAATGTGAAAATTAACATAATATATCTGTTGGGCAACAAAGGTTGAGATAGATCGAACAGGCCCCGCTCTCCGGTTAGTCCGGGCGTTAATATCAAACCAACCCCAAACTGACGCAATTTTCCCGCCCTCGTTTTTGCTCCGATCCTGTGTGTGACGGGAAAGTCAACAAAGTAGAGGATTCACACAACTCTCCCCGGCGTATATTGTTATCAGCCCGGCTCGCAGTGACAGCTGAACCATGCCTTCCACTCATGACTGGATTAACGAGCCTCTGGCGGTGGTGGAGGAGATGTTCGGTAAGACTCCGCGGAACTTTCTCTTTCTGACAGCGAGCGTCAGCGCGTGGAAGCTGCTAGCTAGCCGCGGCTAGTAAGCACCATGCCAACAGCTCATCACATGCTGCTGGGCTTTTATCTTCTCCCATAACTTCACTTTGATTTCAACACAGAATAACTGAAAGGTTTAGGTAAAGCCCCGCCCACCTCTAGAACCACAGGAGCTTCATCCAAACCTGTGGAGCTTTGGTCCCAAGATGGTTTGATTCTGGGAACCAGAGCAGCAGCAGCAGAATTCACTGATGACTGAGTTCAGGTTGCAGATAAGCAGAGGTGGCGTTTCTTTCTCAGTCACTTCATTATCTTCATTATCTAATCAAGATACGCTTCCTTCTAATTTTAATATCATCAAAAAGTCGATCTGTTTCTGTTATTTTTTTTTTAATAAATGCAGGATT